TTGGAGAGGTTACTGGTTTCAGGCACAGGATTGCGACAAAGAGAGATAAGCATTGTATGGATAAATACCTGGATAATGTCAGCCCCGATCAACTGAATGTTCCTAAATTCGGAGAGAAGAAGGATTATCTTCCAGTAGGAGCTCCGTTGCTGGATTATCTTGTTGAAGATGTGAAGAATTCTGAAGGTTGGATGTTTCCAAAACTAGAGGATCTGAAGAGTTTCCAGTCTCATCGGGGGTTAAGCTGGAACATGACTCAAGAAGTGCAAGTGAAGGAGTTAATATGTGGTGTTTCGTCTGAAGGGGAGATTGATGAGGTTCGTCTGTGGATGCAGGAGCAGTTTGAGCTGGATCAGGAAAGGTTCGGGTCTTGTGTTGTATCTTTAGATGTTGAAGACGTGAAAGCCACATATCATGATACTTTGAGAATGGCGGGCAAGGTTGAGATAGGCGCTCCGGGTGCCTTGCTGCAGAAGAAGCCAACCAAGGAATCCTTAGCAAGATATGGAGCGGATGGGTATAAGCAGATACCAGGGAAGATCATGTTTGGTAATGGGATCACTTGGATGGCTGTGATCTCTCTGGATATGCACAGAAACAGAGACGGAATCTATTTTTTGGAACGGATGACAGTTCAACAGGGGATTTTGAAGATACTCCGCAATCTCCCGGTATCTGCCGGACTTGGTATCCGGAGAGATGTCCGAGGGATTGAGGAGTTCTATTCGTTATTAGCAGATGAACCTGTGGAGCTGAGTAATGGATTTATTGATCTTGCTGCACTGTCTATTGCTGCTGGATACAAGTTCCATGCCAGAAATATGACTGCTCTGGGAGTGCAGGTCATAGGAACCTTGCTCAACAAAACCGTATCTACTGGCGATGATATGTGGGGTCTGAGATGGTCTGAGATCCCTGAATCCCTTTGTATTTATGGGATTGGAGATGTAAGGTTCGGATTCATGGTCTATGTAATTCTAGCTGGAATTTTATTAAGGGATTTGTATCCTGATCCGGATATTGTCTGCTGGTTCCTGAAGTGTGAGCAGAAAGAGGCTGTTGATTGGTTCCTGGATTGGATGGTGCTTAGTTTAGAAGGGGTAGAATACCATCAGGATGCAGAGGCTAGAGCTGGTACCAGAGAGGAGTTATTCCGCACTCTCAGGTTTCGGGATGCAAGGGATAAATTGTGTCAAGATTCTCCTAAGTATGTGAAGTTGTGGACTAGATTGCTTGGAGCATGGCCGTCCATAACTCATGGAGGTTGCCGATATTTGATTCAATGTAGGGAGTGGTTCTTGGTACAGATCAGGATCTTGGCTAGAGCGAATATACAGTGGTCAGATAATAGAGTTCTCAGGGTTCCCACTGAAGCGGATCTTGAATATGCTAGGTTCGGCTTGTCAGCAGAGGAGATTGGGTTTCAGTCTTGGACGGAACCTGTTACTGGGAGTAGAGGGTTCTCTAGACCTGGTTCTATCTCTGTTCCGTTGATCGATTTTGATCCCAGCGTGGTCCATAGTACTCGGATCGGTAGATTATGTACTGGGATTCAGAGATTCCAAAGATGGTCAATATTGGAATGGGGGAGGATGAATCCTTCTAGACTGAAGTTCTTTTTCACCAGAATGATGAGGAATTCGGGGTTCAGGTTGTTTTACAAGGGTCTGTATGACGCCTTGAGATTGATGTTCTTGAGGATATTTGATGAACCTGCTCCGGTAGTAATCAGGTTGGAAGAGGAATTGAATGAAGGAATTGAGAAGACTTATCAGGAGGAGAAGAATGCTCTTGAGAAATGTGAAACTGAGGTTGCTATCAGGAGGGATCGGGTAGCCTGGATGGAAGAGATTAGAGTAGATTGGAACCTTAAGGAGAGGACTAGATGGAGAGAGGGTTTGCCTCAGCTCCCTGTGTGGAAGAGGAGAACTAAACCTGGTACTAAGCGAGTGCGGTCTAGATCTAGGTCCAGAACTGGAGTAAAGAAAGGAGCTGCCAAGAGGAGGAAGGTTGATCGTAAGAATGCAAGTCATTCGGTGCTTGTCCCTGTCCAGCCTGGATCCTTTGAGACCGGGAGTGGAACCAGGGATGAGACTGATGATGTGCAGGCTGATGGCGCGCAGGTTGGGCATAGTTCAACCATGGCAGTGGGGAACTCTGAAGCTCTTGGAGAACCTGGAGCAGGTGGTTTTGGTAAGGAGTCTGGGAGAACTGATCCTGGACTAAGTGTTGTGGCTGGAGCTGAGCCCGTGTTGGATCTAGGGGAGAGCAAGGATGAATCTGACAGGGTTCCAGAGGTTCCTGGAGCGGAGTCTGTGTTGAGTCAAGAGAAGAGTAAGGCTGGAGCAAGCAAGGTTGCGAAGAACCCTAATCCTGGGTTGAATCCTTCCTCTTCTGGGAGAAGAGCTAGATCTAGGAACAGGGTATCCTTGACTCCGAGGGTACTAACGTATGATGAGATGATCGAGGGTTATAGGAGAGTCATAGAGGATGATGAGCCTGTTGGGATGAATGGAGAAGAATTTCAGTTTGAGATTCCTGCGGAGATGGAGAAATATGATTTTGAGTTCTAAGATTATGAACATTGAACCAGTGCTGTTTTATTGAAGAAAATAAAGTTGTTTTGCTGATCTGTTGATTATTTTGTGTGGGTGATTAGGGATGGGCATTGAACATTTTGTAGAGATGGGGATTGACTCCAGTTTATACCAAATTTTGATGGTCATTCGGGGTTTCCTCATTATTTTTCTCTTTTCTGGCGGGCAGTGTTTCGCACGCATTTGTGCGAGTGGATTGACGCCCCTGTGGGTATATAAGTTGTGACGGCCCTGGAAGTTGTGTGCGTATAAGGAGTATGGATGAAGCAGAAAACTGGTTTTTTGTACTGTATAGGCAGCTGCCGGGTTTAGTACTACTCAGTGTTGGATCAGTTCTCTAGTAATAAGCATATACGTAGTTTTTTAGTGTTGTAAAATGCATATTTTATCGACGAGAATAAGCTTAAATGGCTTTAATGTTTCAGAATTGAAAAGGTTTTGACGAGTATAGTTTTCTGATTTTTAACTAGAGATCTTGCCAGTCACGTTGAGGTTAGTACTAAACTAGGGGTTACCATTGTAAATACGGTTCCTTTTTAGTCATTTAATATTTTTAGTCCGACATGAAGATTTTTTGCCAACTGGGCTCCTTTTATTTATATGAACGTTTGATATAATTGTAAATATTCATTTTAGTCATACAGTATTTTTTCTCTGGTAGTAAGATAGTTTCTCTTGTTCAGATTGAATCCTTCAACCTGTTTTACTTCCAGAGAGGAATATGGGAGATAAATACAGGGATTCCAATCCCCCTAGCAAGAGGATTCTTAGGTAAAAATTAGAAAGGTTTTGAATATTGCTTTGTTATGAGCTAAGCCTAGGCGTAGCGAAACACCATTAAAGTTAGAGGTCTAATTTTTTGGTTCACCGACACAGGGTCAAACGACAAAGGGTCAACCGACAAAGGGTCAAACAACAAAGGGTCAAACAAAAAAGGGTCCAACAACAAAGGGTCAAACAACAAAGGGTCAAACAACAAAGGGTCAAACGACACTGGGTCAAACGACAAAGGGTCAAAAGCGCGACAAAGGGGAAAACGACATAGGGTCAAAAAATGTGACAAAGGGGCAAATTTTTTTTAAATNTTGTCTAATCCTAATATCGCTAGGACAGGCTAGGGGGCCGAGCGCTGCGGCCACGGGTTAGGTTAGTTAAGACACTTTCTGGGCCGAGCGCTGCGACTAGGACAGGCTAGGAAGCCGAGCGCTGCGGCCATATGGTCACTCATATCCATGTCAAACATATAAGATCCATGTACAAAATTGATAGGAGGGTTGCGAGTTCCCTATGATTCAAATCAAAAAATATTTTTATCATTTTGACCTTTTTTCGTTTGACCCTTTGTCGCACTTTTGACCCTTTGTCGTTTGACCCTTTGTCGTTTGACCCTTTGTTGTTTGACCCTTTGTCGTTTGACCCATTGTCGTTTGACCCTGTGTCGTTTGACCTTTTGTCGGTGAATCGATTTTTTTAATGAGAAGGCCTTGAAAAGTTGGACTAGGAATCACACTCCCCTATCTTAACTCTAAGGGCAAAATCATCTAGGCTAGACAAAAATAGCCTAATCGGGATATTGTTAAGCTAATTTTTCACTTCGTCTTTCTGTTACTCTGACCCTTTTGTTTAGATTTATATCTATCTTGTCTATAGCTATCTGTCTATCTACCTTATTTATTAGATTAGTATTGATATAGCACAAGGTCCAGTCTACTTCTCCCTTCCCCTCTTTTTACATCCCCCCCTTTCCAATCATCGACTCCCTAATTTCCCCCCTTGCCACATCTCCCTACTCCCCCCTTCCCACCATACCTCGTACTTGGAAAAAATACAATATATCCCTTACATTTATTGCATACTTTAAAATAAAATATTTTTTATCATTATTATTTTTGTTGAGAAATGGTATGCTTAATGTTAAAAAGAAGAATGTTGATGCAGATAGACCAGATGTAGACCCAGTGTCCTATACGTGTTCGTAAATAATAGAGGTTAAAACTTCTCTGTGGTTCATCATTTCAGAAAGCAATGGTCGTTTTTTTCTTCTTACTTCTTACTTTCCGTTGTAAAAATTTAATTAAAACTTGATAGCTAGCTAAACAGTACAATCGAAGAACATAGCTCATAGCTGGCAACTCTCGTATTGTGAATATCGATATCAATGCTTGATCTCCCCTTTTTCTTTATTCCCTGATTAATTCATTCTTTATTTTATATCCAGGAAAGAGTCTAATATTCAACCAACAGAGTGTCGTTTGCCGAAATCGAATAGCAAATCAGAAACAGACAAAGAAAGGATTAAGCAGAAAATCAAAAGTGTCCACAGGGGACATCGAGATTAAATATTTCAAAATATAAATGATTAAATAATGAAAATAAAAAATACCATTAGATTGTAGAGATGTAGGAATTGTAAGATTTGAGCCAAGTCATCAGTTCCTTTCTCTTAGATTTTTAACCAACAAACAGTATTTGGAGATTTCGGAAATGAAAATCTAATATGACAGTAACTTATTTCTTGCTCTTCTCTTATCATTATATTTTGTTCCCCTTCAACGGATATATTAGAAGACAGTACACTGATAGATCACTTACCATTATAATTCTATCTGAAGATGGATGGTTGATTGTTAGATTAATATTAATATCTGTTTATGTCAGGATACAAATATGTGGGAAATCAGTGCATGCAATACAGGATAAGATTACAGAGACGACAATGCACAAAGCTTAGCCTAGAGGCAGCTCAAAGGATCGTATGAAATACCATGGAGCAGGATTCGATAAGACGACAGAGACGACAGTGTACAAAGCTTAGCCTAGAGGCAGCTCCAAGGATCGTAGAAAATACCATGGAGCAGGATTCGACCCGTCCACTCATCATATGATTAAATAATAAAAAATGATTCTTTTAACAAAATTAAGCCATAAATAATACCCCTGCTAATATAAAGTGGAATTATATATATATTGTTATTCCGTCTAGATATCTGTTTGTATTCAGTAAGCGTGAAACAGCTTGGTGTCAACTCACGTGACCTCAGGGTGGGTTTATTGGTTGTAAAATTGAAAAATATGAAATAATAACAAATGTAAATAATATAATGAAAACATAACGACTTAAAGAGCATTATAAAAAAAACTATAATTATTTCTAAATAAGCGAGTGAATCGTCCCGTAGACCTAGTTGAATGTACTTTGATTCCAATATCTTGAATATATGCACTGTCATGTATATCGGAGAGTATTTACTTATCACATGTACATGTTTGCGTGTTAGTCAAGTGTACATGTGTGTTTGTCCGTTGGATTTATACGAGCAACCTCCGTTTTTATACGACACCTCGGATACTCAATGCATTGGTTCTCGTCCCGAAGTCCCCTTAGTTCCATTAGTATCCTCTGTTCCATCGGTTCTTTTAGTTACTCTCGTTCTTTGAGTTCATTTAGTTACACCAGTTATCTTAATTCCTTTAGTTACTCCAGTTCTCTTAGTCACTTTGGTTACTCCAGTTCTCTCAGTTACTTTAGTTACTCCCGTTCTTTTAGTTACTTTAGTTACTCCAGTTCTCCTAGTTCCTTTAGTTACTCCAGTTTTCTTAGTTCCTTTAGTTACTCCAGTTCTCTTAGTTCATTTAGTTACTCAAGTTATCTTATTTCGTTTAATTACTTCAGTTCTTCCAGTTCCTCTAGTTACTCCAGTTCTCTTATTTTCGTTAGTTACTTCATTGGTCTTATTTCCTTTTGTTACTCCAGTTCTCTTAGTTCATTTAGTTACTCCAGTTCTCTTAGTTCCTTTAGTTACTCCAGTACTCTTAGTTCCTTTAGTTACTCCAGTTCTCTTAGTTCCTTTAGTTACTCCAGTTCTCTTAGTTCCTTTAGTTGCTCCAGTTCTCTTAGTTCCTTCAGTTACTTTAGTTTTCTCAGTTCCATTAGTTACTCCAGTTCTCTTAGTTCCGTTAGTTACTCCAGTTCTCTTATTTCCTTTAGTTACTCCAGTTCTCTTAGTTCCGTTAGTTACTCCAGTTCTCTTAGTTCCGTTAGTTACTCCAGTTCTCTTAGTTCCGTTAGTTATTCCAGTTCTCTTAGTTCCTTTAGCTACTCCAGTTCTCTTAGTTCCTTTAGTTACTCCAGTTCTCTTAGTTCCTTTACTTACTCCAGTTCTCTTAGTTCCTTTAGTCACTCCAGTTCTCTAAGTTCCTTTAGTTACTCCAGTTCTCTTAATTCATACTCTAGTACTCTTAGTTTCTTTATTTACTCCAGTTCTCCCAGTTACTTTAGTTACTCCAGTTCTCTTAGTTCCTTTAGTCACTCCAGTTCTCTTAGTTCCTTTAGTTACTCCAGTTCTCTTAATTCCTACTCTAGTACTCTTAGTTTCTTTATTTACTCCAGTTCTCCTAGTTACTTTAGTTACCTTTATATTTTAGCTTTTTTATCATCGTCAGTTCCTTTAGTTCCCATTACTTATCTCAAATTCTCATTGTTCCTCCTTCGTATCCTCAATTGAAATGAGGGCCATGTTCATTTTACATTCTTCTTTCAACTCTAAACTATGAAACAGTGATTTCAGTTTTTTTAATATACTTAACCTTAAATATACTTTTAATTTTCTATCAATGATGTATTGTAAATGAAATTATTCTGTTCTAAAGGGGCTAGTTTTAACTTGGACCTGCGTAAATACGTTTTTATATTACATATTAGCGGGCTTCAATGAAAATTGTTGCATGTACTAATAAAGGAAACAGAACGGTTTATTCATATTTATTTATTTTAACGTTTCAAAAAGAAAGCGCAGAGCTCTAGGATTGTTTAAAAAATAGAATAAAGGATATATTTTTTTATTCCAACCTGATTAGACAAATAAATTCTTTTTTTGTCTACCATTTACTTCCATCTATACACTATAAACGTTAAACCACAGAGTGCTCAATTAGCACTCAGACACTCAGGTTTCACAAGTTAATAAGTAGCTTACAACCAAACCATGATCGTTCTTAAAGGGACTGTAGACGTAATTTCAAGTGATTCGCCATTTATAAAGTGACATGTCCGATGCAAATAGATTTCACTAAAAATGGATCATTCATTATTCATTAGGTGTACTATCTCGTCTTACCTTTTATGGACTGTATTTGTATTGTGTGTTCTACAGCTTGCTCTATCTGATGAATAGTTGGCCGGAACTTGAAATGTACAGCTTGCGCTAGCTGATGAATAGTCGGCCGGAACTTGAAATGTACAGCTTGCTCTATCTGATGAATAGTTGGCCGGAACTTGAAATGTACAGCTTGCTCTAGCTGATGAATGGTCGGCCGGAACTTGAAATGTACAGCTTGCTCTAGCTAATGAAAAGTTGGCCGGAACTTGAAATGTACAACTTGCTCTAGCTGATGAAAAATCGGCCGGAACTTGAAATGTACTGCTTGCTCTAGGTGATGAAAAATCGGCCGGAACTTGAAATGTACAGCTTGCTCTAGCTAATTAAAAGTTGGCCGGAACTTGAAATGTACAGCTTGCTATAGCTGGTGATCAGTCGGCCGGAACTTGAAATGTACAGCTTGCTTTAAATTTTAGGATTTTTGCTAAAAAATTATTGATTTCAAGGTAAAAAACAACGATACTTTCCCTTCTATGTTACTCAGGCCACGCGGATCGAAATTTGACATATTACACAAAATTTTTTGCCATTTCTCTTTTGTGCTTTTTTTGTCGGCATATGCGTTTAAAAAAAGAGTAAAAATAACAACTCCGTAATTTTAACGTTTGTTGAATTAAAAAAAAAAATGCAATTGATTTCAAATTGATGAAAACAAAGCATATCTCACCCAGGTTAGTCCGAGGTGAGGCAGAGAATTAAAGGATACTGGTGTGAATCGAACAAGCTTTAAATGGATTGTTGCTTGAAACTAGCTACAAGCTGGTTGAAAATGTTCTATAATCTATATAACGTGTTTTGTCTCTGTTCCTGTAGGTTTCTATATGTTCTAGGTTTGATTGTGTATTGAGCTGTCAACACCAATAATCAGTTCTCAAACTTTCCAAAACAGAACTTTATACAAAAAATACTTATTCACTTTCAAGCACAAACTTTTTAAACATAAATAATTATTTCTAGAAAGATTATTTTTTATTGTATTTTATCATTTTTTCCTGATATTTTCTTGTAAAGGTTTGCCCTGCAGCCTAGACTTTGATCTGTTTGATTTGCTGGATTTAGTTTAATAAAAATGATTTCCATCTCATCTACCTTATCTTTCATCTTAGTCCAGAACCTGAGCTATAAAGAAACCCTGGTCCAAATCTTGACTTGCAGAGTTCCACTTATCTCCCCTACCCCCCTCCCCCGATCCAGGGCTTTTCAGAGTTCCTCCCCCCCACTAGGCCCAGGACTTACAGCTGCCCTCTCTACGTCTAAGGGTCGTCGTTAACGATTGTTGACGAGGGGTCATTATTAACGATCGTGAACTTAGGGTCGTCGTTAATGATCTTAAATGAAAGTATGGTCGCTAACGATAGTTAACGATGGCTAAAATTAAAAAACGGCGTCAACGAAACAACGAATTTAAAAAAAGAACAAGTACTTCGTTTTTAACTTTAAAAAACGATTCTTTTTAAAAACGATCTTTTCTAATTCGAAACCGAAACGATCCATTCGTTTTTCAGAAAAAGTGAAAACGACCCATCTCTAAGTTCAGGACTTTACCGTTCAAATTACATCTACAAGAGAATCCCGAGTAATTTCAGATTTAGAACTGTAGTTCAGGGCAAAATCTACAGAAAATACCTTGGGCCAAACGAGAATAAGCCACGCCCCCCCCCCCCATTTAACCATGTCTTAAAAAGAAATTTCGATAACTTTCTAAAACTCTGATATTCAAGTAAAAAGTTGCAGTATTGTGTAGTCTTAACGTATAATTAACTAACACAGAGAGGAATGTGAATGTGATACAGAAAAGTTTCCTAGTATTTTTCAGAAATTTCTCCTTTCAACATTAAAAAAGTTTAACTTCCATTGTCTAAAGTTTCTTAGACATTGGGGTTAGTCATAACAAAAGGATATATTTAGGCGTCTGCTTATATTTCTTGTTTTAAGTTGTATAAAGTTTCATGTCTTTAAAATACACACAAAAACTTAAACAAATCATTTCAAGAAATGATTGTTGTCCTCCCTATCTCTTTTGAATGATAAATATAGCTAAGGATTTCGTATTTTGCAACTGTTATCTCTAATTATGTTAAATTTGATATTAAAATAATCTTTTAAAAGTGTAAAAATTTCAGAAGATAAATTTGTGTGACAATGAAGAATAATTAGCCTGCAGTGGAAATAAATAAGATGAGAGAAGAAAGGGTTCAGCAAACTGTTAGAAATCTTCTTTATATCTTGTGTTTAATTCCAACAGGTGATAAATTCAATAAATAATTCTTAAGTCAACAAACTTTACTTTTAACCTGAAACGCGTTAAATATTGACAAGAAGATTGGACTGTAAACCAGAAAATCCTCTTGATTTCTACGATTTCTTAAAAATTATATAAAAAACTAAAAATAGTCCTAAATTAACAGTACTCAAATGCCAAGGAAAACAATTAGTGCCCAGTATGAAGGAAACCATCAATATTAAAAAAAAAACCAAAATCATTAACAAAAAGATTCTTTTCAAATCATTTTAGTGTATATAACTTGTTTTTCGTTTCTAGTGAGTTTTGAATGAGTTTACTGAGATGTTACTTAATAAAAGGTCTACATTCTCTTTATAGAGGAATCGTGCTGTATTTCTTGAATAAAAAGTTCTTTTAACTTTCTTTTTTAAATTTCATTTTTAAGAATATCACTAATATATTAGTATTATTATAGATAATTGTATATTCTTGAACTCGTGTCAAATATGTCTTATTGCTTTAATGACAATGGTATTCTGATGGAATATATGCTTTTAATTATATTTAATGATTTCTTGATAAATCATTAATATTTAATTTAACACCTTCACAAAATATTTAAATGCTTCAGAAAGGAATGTTACCATATTAATTTACCTGCTAGATTTTAATTAAAATAATAAACAAAAAGTAGACCTGATGAATTAAGTTTTTTATTTCTAACCTGATATTTTCAACCTAATTTAATTATTTATCAATGATAATATTATGTCAGGATCTGGAGGACTAGAGATGCTGGGAATTAACAGTCCAAAGTTTGCCAGCAGGTGATACTATCATTCATTCCTCCTCATCTCAACTCTAGATTAATCCCCTTCATGTCAGTTAGAGATTCATTCCCCTTCATGTCAGATTTAGATTCATTCCGAATCATGTCAGATTTAGATTCATTCCTAATCATGTCAGATATAGATTCATTCCTAATCATGTCAGATTTAGATTCATTCCTAATCATGTCAGATTTAGATTCATTCCCCTTCATGTCAGCTTTAGATTCATTCCCTTTCATGTCAGCTTTAGATTCATTCTGCTTCATGTCAGCTTTAGATTCACTCCCCCTCATGTCAGCTTTAGATTCATTCTCCTTCATGTCAGCTTTAGATTTATTCCCCTTCATGTAAGCTTTAGATTCATTCCCCTTCATGCCAGCTTTAGATTCATTCTCCTTCATGTCAGCTTTAGATTTATTCCCCTTCATGTCAGCTTTAGATTCATTATCCTTCATGTCAGCTTTAGATTCACTCCCCCTCATGTCAGCTTTAGATTTATTCCCCTTCATGTAAGCTGTAGATTAATTCCCCTTCATGCCAGCTTTAGATTCATTCTCCTTCATGTCAGCTTTAGATGCATTCTTCTTCATGTCAGCTTTAGATTCATTCTCCTTCATGTCAGTTTTAGATTCATTCCCCTTCATGTCAGCTTTAGATTCATTCTGCTTCATGTCAGCTTTAGATTCACTCCCCCTCATGCCAGCTTTAGATTCATTCTCCTTCATGTCAGCTTTAGATTTATTCCCCTTCATGTAAGCTTTAGATTCATTCCCCTTCATGCCAGCTTTAGATTCATTCCCTTCATGCCAGCTTTAGATTCATTCCCCTGCATGCCAGCTTTAGATTCATTCCCCTTCATGTCAGCTTTTGATTCATTCTCCTTCATGTCAGCTTTGGATTCATACCCTTTCATGTCAGCTTTGGATTCATACCCTTTCATTTCAGCTTTAGATGTATTCACCTTCATGTCAGCTTTTTATCAAAGTAAACGCTACTCAATGTTTTAAAAAGCTTTTCCATGTTTTGTCAGTGTTTATTCTTGTTTAATTAAAGGTATATCTTGACTGAAAGATTATGAATGATCTGAATTTAATAATATTATAATAATATGTTTTGTTGCCTAGAACCAATACATTGCGTGTTAGGAGGGGTTTGTCTGAGGGAGGAGGGAGGGGGGAGGGGTACGCTGAGAGGGGAATTTTCTAATCCCCTCTGTCCCCCCCGTGAAATTTCAAAACATAAAGGAGGAGGGGGATTTTTTGATAGGAAAAATAATTCTATTCTATTAACATTGTGGAGTAATGATATAGGATAAATGGGGTTACTTTATATTTTTTCTTTCAATATTTGCGGTAAAAATAAAACCTTAAATGACCATGGACCAAAGGTAGGA